TATGCACAACAAGTTTGCATACGACTTTGATTTTTGCATAATTAATATTTAAATCTAAACGCATATTTGTGAAAAAACCGAAGTATGGCTTTATGTGTTGAAAGAAAATAACAAAATATCTGTTTTATAATATATATTTTTATAATGTATGATTGCTTTTTTTTATTAAAAGTATGTCTATTTATGTATGTAGGTAGAATTATATTATTTAGGTGTTGGTTAGTTTTTCTGATATTTTCTGCAAATGTTATGATTTTACACAATACAGTTTTTTTGGCGTTTAACAACAATCACAAAAACTATTTCAATCGTTTTGTATTTAATCAAATTTCTTATTTTTCTGCATTTTATGATATATGGTTTCTCAACAAATAACATCACTATTTTTCCTCTAAATTAGAAGATTTAATATAAAGGTGGGTTAGATATGCTTTAAACCAAAGACATAGCCTTAGATTTTTACAGAAAATCAAAATCGTAAAGATTCATTTTTACTTATACTTCTTATTCATATGTTTATTTATATCAAATAAAATTAATAATAAATATTTGTTATAAAATTTGTGAAATCATATTTTATAAAATTCTCTGGTAGCTCTCTGCTCATCACTTTGTCCAATATTCAGGAATTAGTTTGATGAAGAAAATAAATTTCTTATATTTTCTCTGCATGCATATGTTTATTATAAAATTTGAGCCCCAAATGCGTTTATTATAAAATTTATTTCCTAAGATTTTTAAATGAATCCGTAAAACAAAGTTTGAAAGTGTTACGAAAAACAAAAATGTAGATATATTTTTTTTTTATTTCTACATCTTATTCATATTCGTTTTTTATTAATTATAATTTATTTTTTCATCCGGTTACTTTATGTTTTATTTCTGATCTCAAATTCTCGATCTACAATTAGATTGTATATGAGTATAATTAAAGCTTTTGATTTATTTAAAACAATGATAAGAGATAAAATGAAATAGTAATATAAGCTACGCAAATTGCAGAATACAATAATATAAAAATGTTAAAAAACTATGTACAAATATTAATATATCATACTCCTAACATTATTAATATAAAGTGTATATACTATCTTATTTAATAATCTAATATTATTTTCCATTTAAAAATATAAAATATATATTGGTTGTAAAAGTTTCGTAATCATATTTTATGAAATCTATTATGCATATATGTAAAAACAAATTGAAATCATAGTAATTATTATTTTCTGTTTATTTAAATTTATTATTTTTAATGTTATAATCTGGTGTATTTATATTATAATTTTATAATTTATTTAATTATAACTCAACCAATCAAAATATTTCGTTTATTTTAGGAATTTTGCCATGTCACATTTCCATGTCACCATTAATTTACACTAACTTTTGTTAAGGTGATGACACATCAGATTTTTTCATTAAATATGCTTATCAAATAATAGTTAGGATTTGACAAGCAGATTTAATGAAAAACAGTAAAGAAAAGAAAATTTAGTATTTTTTAATCGTGATATAGAAATGTAATATGATAAATTTCCTAAAATAAATAAAATGATTTGATTGGTTGAGTTAAAACTAAATAAATTTTATTCTCGAATAAATAAAAAATTATATCATATGTAAATGCATTCTCATTATATTATTTGACAAGCAGATTTAATGAAAAACAGTAAGGAAAATAAAATTTAGTATTTTTGAATCGTGATATAGAAATGTAACATGACAAATTTTCTAAAATAAATAAAATAGTTTGATTGGTTGACTTAAAACTAAATAAAAATTATATCATATGTAAATGCATTCTCATTATATAGCAAAAATTTAAAATTATAATGAAACTAAAAAAATAAACAGATAAAAAACTAAATCATAAATTTCCTCTTAGCAAATTTTTTGTAATATTATATATATGAATAAAAAGTAGAAATAAAAGTAAAAATAAATCTTTACGACTTTGGTTTTTTATAAAAATCTCAGACTATATCTTTAGATTAAAGAATCTCCAACCCAATTTTATTTTAAATCTTCTAATTTAGAAGAAAAATGGAGATGTTATTTTTTTCTCTATAATTGGAGGAAAAAATAACAATTTTTTTTCTATAAAATAAAAATAGGTTAGAGAAAAATTTACCTATATTTTAGAGAAAAAATAGAATAATACATTGGAGATGACCGTAATATTTAATATATTATCCAAGGTTAAAAAAAAAAATATGAGTCAAAAAGACAAAAAATAAAGAAAAATAAATTTGATCGATTTTATGTATTTATTTGAAATATTTAAAAATATAATCTTACATATATTAATTCTTTTATGCATATATTTTTTACCATATTAAAATATTATTTTATAAATAAAGTTTTTTATATGCTATGATCTATTATATTTTATATTAATATATATATTAAAATTAAAACAGAAGAACTCTTAATTTTTAATATAATAATAAAATATAAAATATATTATTTTATATCTTAAATCATATATATATATAATTTTTTGATTTGACTAATTTAAACACTACGATTATAAAGAATTTGTAAAAACGAACCACTACAGACTATAAAAAAAAATTGACAAAAAAGGAACATGACATATATAACATATAGAAAGGGACATGATATGTTATCATATATAACATATAGAAAGGGACATGACATGTATAACATATTAGGTTAAATCGACCGTCTTTCTTACATGTTTCTTCGGTTTTAAGTTATGTACCTTAGCCGAAATGAGTATGAAACTTTATTATATTGTATTAATGTGCTTATCTGTAGATTCAACCCATAATCCCGTTCAATCGATGGGTAATGGTACTAATCATTATAATTTATTAATTTAATGAAGTTTAGTGACACCCTCTGGTCTAAAGTTATTGGTTTAAAAATAAAGTCGCGATACATGAAATTATTATATTCGTCTTAGCATCAAACCCTTGATCTATTGTTATCTGACTAATAACGTCGATCCTCTTAAACTAATCTCACGCGCAGATTTTGTCTCATAGTACAATTTAATTTAGCTAGAAAAAAGTGGGTAAGATCCACAACACTAACCAAAGTTACATATATGGACATTTTATCTATATATGTATATTTATACGCAAACATAAAGTATATATAGTATGGTTAGATTTTGTACGAACCTAAAATGAAATTTATAGATCACATAGAGTAGAAAAAAAGACAATCGTCACCTAACGAGAGACCCGAAAGGACCCATTAAAATCTGAGGCTGCGTTTGAGATGGTACCTATATTTTATAGGGGTAGGTAAAATATCCGTTATATCTGCTTCGAACCGATATTTGCTTCGATCCGATTCAAAAAATCCGGATATTCGTAAAGCTTCGGAGCAAAGCAAATAGCAAAATGTAATATCCGTACAAAACGGAGCAAATCACAAATATATTTTTAGATAACGCCGGATATCCGATCCGATCCGTATATTTATAAATTTATTATATATTATCATGTATATATCAATTATATTATAAATTTTTATTAATATATTCTCAATTTTCTTCCTAAATTTTCAATTGTTCTTTTGATTATATAAAATAAATGACTAAATAACCAATTATAAAAAATAAATACAATGTTTAAACTTAAAATATATTAATAAATAACATTTTATTTTATATTAGTAAATAAATATCAACAAAATTTTTTTAGTAAAGTTTAATATTAAAGTTTTAAATAGCTAATATTATTTTTAAATATAAAATATCATTTTTTCCTCATCTTAATTTTGTAGGTTTATTTTTTATAGATTTTTTATAAAATAAAATATTTTCCTTTAGTTATTTTCACTTAATAGTTTAGATGAAAAATATTTTTTTTTATAATAAAAATTGATGTACTTTCAGTTTTTTGTATATTAAACGGATCAAACTAAATATTCATAAATATCCGTAAATATCTGCAAATATCCGCAAATACTTGTAAATTTTCCGGATATCCGAAAATCCGGATATCCGTATATTTCCGGAGCAAATCAAATCATAAAATTAAATATCCGTTAAAAACGGAGCAAACCATAAATACTAAAAAATTCTCAGATATCCGATCCGCGCCCACCCCTAATATTTTATTTATCCCGTGAGCTAATAGAAATTTAGATATATTTTCTGACAACTAATCAGAAATTGAACATTGAGCGCCGTGAAATTTTAGAATAGGTATACTCTTAAATCGTAATTGTACCATTGAGGAAGAATGGTCATAGGCTCCAAGAAAAATCATTTTAATCTACTAGTTTTAATAATTCATTAGTATTTATTATATAGTTCACAAAAAACGTTTTAAACTAGTTCTTGTTTTTTTTTAAAAAAATAATACTATAGTTACTGAATTTCCATATAACTTTTGATAAGAAAAACGTTAAATATTTTTGGTAGACAAAGTTGATAAGAATATCAAATAAAACATAATTTAAAAATTTATTGAATTTCGGTACAAACTAAAAACATATATTTTTTAAATTTTTTGGTGAAAAATGTCAAAATAACACTTATAAAAAAATATAAAATATACAAAAATAAAATACATAAATTTTACCCAAAACCACAAATTATAGTTAATCATTTATGTAAAGCAATTTCGTGAAGATAATTTTTTCCACATAACCGTTGAAGAGAATCGAGAAATCAGAAAAAAAAAAACTAAAGTGTTGGAGAATAAAGGGGCAAATTTGGAAGTTAGTATTTTGTCTTTGGACAGAAGTCACAGAACAGTGAAGCTGAGAATCACGCGACTCATTTCGCCAGCAAAAAGCACAGAGATTTGAAAGAAAGAAAAATGCATTTTACTGAAAAAGATATAACAGAAAAAGAAAACTCTCCTTTTCTTGTGTTTTAAAAATAAATTGAAATTAGCCTACTACTGCAAAATAGGGCATGGTGAAAAGGATAAAAAAATAAAGAAAAGTAGGAATCAATTACAGACATTATTGAGTTTTCTTTTATTTTGTTTTCTCTTCCGAGAGAGAAGACGATGATGTCGTTGAGCTCACCTGTTGTTTTCTCTCGACAACCTTAAAAAGAAAGGAAGAAGCTTTCTCTTCTGTGAGAGTTTTTCTTCTCAGAAGAAACGTTTCTTTCTATTTATATATATAAAATAAATAAATGGGAATGGGAAGGCATCAGAAAACTGGAACTTCTGGAGTTTCAGCAAGATGGGTTTTTCTTCTCTGCATTTCTAGCTTCGTCCTTGGTGTTCTTGTCGTTAACAGGTTCTATGATTCTCTCTCTTTCTCTCTCTCCATCGTTTCGATTCCTAAATGATAATGCTGCGGAATCTTTGTCTTGTTCCTGTGTGAACCAACTCTTTTAGTTCGTCTGTTACTGTTAATTAACTTTAGGGGATTTCGTTTTTCAGATGTATCAGAAAGTCTGCAACTTTTTCTCTCCTACTATATGTTTATGTCTTCACATTGGTGAATCTGGAACATTCTGATTCAGAATTTTGCATAAAGCTGTTTCTTCTAGTGAAAAAAAGATATGTTTTTCTTTCTGGGGCTTCTTCTTTGATGGTTCTATGCATAAAAGGTTGATCCTTTTGTCACAGTTAGAGAATTTCAGAAGATAAAGCAAACTCAACTCTTAATTAGCTTTTAGCAGTTTGGATGATTGTTGCATTTGTTGGTCTGGCTTTTAAATCTTACACATTTTCTTCGTTTAGGATATTGGCAACTTCTGAGACCATAGATGGAAACGAGAGAGCTTCTTCATCTGAGCAGAATGATCAATCTAGATCACTTCATCCTCTTGTTGATTGTGAGAGCAAGGCAAGTAACAATTAAAACAACTTTTGTCTGTTTAAATCTCCGGATTTGTACTAAGTTTGACTCATGATTTGTCTTACCAGGAGGGAGACATTCTATCTCGAGTTACGCATACTCATGAGGTTATCAAGTAAGCTTCTTGGTCTCAGTGAAACATGTCTTTGATATTAAAGATTGCTTTATATAGTCACATTAATTGATTATGCATTGCAATGTACAGGACATTAGACAAGACGATCTCGTCTCTAGAAGTAGAACTAGCCACAGCTCGAGCAGCAAGATCTGACGGTGGCGATGGATCTCCAGCTGTTGCAAAATCAGCAGCGGAACAGTCGAATCAACGGCCTCGTATGTTCTTTGTGATGGGAATCATGACTGCTTTCAGTAGCAGGAAACGAAGAGACTCAATAAGAGGAACGTGGCTTCCTAAAGGTTCAACAAGAACAAACATACCTCTTGCTTTCTCCATAAAAGATGTAACAAAAAGTCTTAAAATGATTGTTGTTTTGTTCATTTCTTTTGCAGGAGATGAACTGAAAAGGCTAGAGACAGAGAAAGGAATCATTATGCGATTTGTCATTGGTCACAGGTAGAATTTGAAACTTCCTTTTGGCTCCAAACATTGACTTTATATGACTGTTGTTTGATATCATCAATGTTTCATAAATAGCTCTTCTCCTGGTGGAGTCTTGGACCACACCATTGAAGCAGAAGAAGAGCAGCACAAAGACTTCTTTCGTCTGGTGAATTTTGCTCGCCCACATGCTTACATTTGCTCTGTTCTTTTCCGGTTTTTTTGATCATAAGTTCAAAACCTTGCAGAATCACATAGAAGGGTATCATGAATTATCATCTAAAACCCAAATATACTTTTCATCTGCTGTTACAAAATGGGATGCAGACTTCTACATCAAAGTGGATGATGATGTTCACGTAAATCTCGGTAAGTTACAAAAACTAATTCATCTCTTTCTTAATACTGTTCCATGAAAAGCTTAACTAAAGTTTAGCTATATATCATCCAGGAATGCTTGGCTCTACATTGGCTCGTCACAGATCAAAACCGCGAGTGTACATCGGTTGCATGAAGTCTGGACCTGTCCTAGCTCAAAAGTAAGCAACAAAGTCTGTTACAAGCTCATGTTTTGTAACAGTTCTCTGACGTTTTTTATGTTGCAGAGGAGTCAAATACCACGAGCCAGAGTATTGGAAGTTTGGTGAAGAAGGAAACAAATACTTCAGACACGCTACTGGTCAAATCTATGCAATCTCCAAAGATTTAGCAACTTATATCTCAGTAAACCGGTGAGAGCTCTCTCACCAATCTCGAACATGCAAATCCCAAACGATTATGATTCACTCAATTTCTCACTAATGTCTTTATCTCAGGCAACTACTTCACAAATATGCAAATGAAGATGTCTCTTTGGGATCTTGGTTCATTGGTCTTGATGTTGAACATATCGATGATAGAAGCCTCTGCTGCGGAACACCCTTAGGTAAAAAAAGATTACAATCTATCTATGTTCATGATTGCACACAAACACGTTAAAGAAACAATTTGAAGATTCATGAATCAAGATTTGATGAAATGTGTGTGCAGATTGTGAGTGGAAGGGCCAAGCAGGGAACCCTTGCGCAGCATCGTTCGACTGGAGCTGCAGCGGAATCTGCAAGTCTGTGGATAGAATGCTTGAAATACACCAACGTTGTGGAGAAGGCGAAGGAGCAATTTGGCACACCAGTTTCTAAAACTATAAAAAGCTCTTTGAATTAGTAATGTATAGCGTCATCTTCTTCTTCTTATGGATGATTAGTGTAGGTTTGATGATTATGATTATGATGTTCATGTTTAAACATTACAGGGATATCATTTAAAGCCCCGATTTTTGCTTCATTAATCCTAAACCATAATTTTATGTTGAATGATTCTTGCAAAGTTGGGATCTTTCTTGCTTAAAGAGAATCAGAATATAGAAAGAAAAAAAAACATCTAAACACTTAAAGCTCTTCACCAAGTTAAAGATTTTATTTGGATAATTATGATGATGATGTTCATGTATAAACATTACTGAGATCATCTAAAGCCACAATTTTTGCCTCCTAAATCCTAAATTGATAATGAGGAATCGATTCTCAGAAAACAGAAACAAAATTAAAAACTCTTTTTTTTTTTATATATATTTACAGATTCAAGAATTATAAAACGAAACACGAGCAATTCGACATAAGCCGCAAAAGAGATGAATCTCACAGAGGATGATTCTAATCAAGAATTGTATTTTGTTTAACCAAAATTGTATTTACATAAAAGGAATCGAACAAACAGAAAAGAAGAAGACTCAGCAAAATCTTGGTTTCTTGGTTGAATCAAGAACGAACAATGGTCTCGAAGCAATGAATCCCGTCGAGCTCTAGAGCAAACCTCGGTTGCTTCGTCGCAAAAATTGCAGCTTTTTCATCTTTCTTCAGAGAAGACGTTGCGGTTTGACCGCTGCCGCCACCGCCGCCGGAAGGAGCAGCGGCTTTGCGTTCAGAGCAGCGGTAGACGAAAGCATCAGCCGTGACTTTCTTCCCCATAATCTCTGCACACATGGCGTCGAAGGCACTGAACATCGAATTCATTATCACAAGAATTTGGAGAGAGAGAGGGAGAGATTAAAATTGAAAGGTTGAAGAAGATCTTTAATGAGTTTTTAAAAAGAAGTAAAAGGGTTGATTTTGTTTATATAGAGTTTGTAAAAAAGACGCGACGAAACTCGGCCGTGTTGGATAAGGAAAGCGAAGAATCCGAGTCGGATCCGAGTTCGTCCAAAGTTGAAATTTTCCATTTTATTCTTGTTTTTTTAAGCGCGTGATTACCCACGCGCGGTTGACCTAATTTTTTTCAATTGGTTTTGCGTGAGATGTGGCAATTTGACAAAAGAGGAGCTTTAGAATTTTTTAGGTTGGACTTTGTTGAACCTAATTTATCAAATTCAATTAATTCATGGCAATCCTTGAATGCTTATTATAGAAGAGGTTTGTGTTTAATGTGATTTACTATGCCTTTTATGATTTTATCATGAATTTTTGTGATTTTTTTTAATGTTCAACATTTTAAATAAATGATCATTTGAGTATAATTTATTTGATCCACGAAAAACTATAATCTATATATAATTAATGCTTTTTTTATGTTTGTGCGATTGGAAACAAATGTTTGGTAATTTATTTTGGTGTTGATTAGGTCGTTTGTTTAGGCACAAACTAAAACAAAAACACAAGTCATTTTTACTATTTGGTTTGAAGAAAGAACAAAAATAAAAATTATTCGACGTAATTAAACTAATCAATCATGTCCGCTAGATTTACAAGTTTAGACTTTATTAATGATTCCAATTTGCTTTCCCTCTTGATCGGCGTTAAAGAATTTTAAGTACCTTTTTTGGAGGAAGAGTGATATAGATGTTCTTTATCGACATGATCAGAACAAGTTTCTTTAGTTATTAATTTTGGTTATTTGGAGAGTTAGCAACAAAACTTTTATAAAGCAATATATCGAGTTTCTCTAGATATTTTATAGCATGTCAGGGTGAAGTGCATGGAATTAATTAAAGCCTTTTTTTTATGCGAAACTGCTACGACTACGAGCACGTGTTCATAAAGAAAAGTGCTCCACAGGTGTGACGGTGACGGTGAGTCGGTGACAGCTCTGAAATGCGATACATATGGTTTATGGAAAAGCTCGACAGTGATTTCAATGGTCTAATTTGGATGAAAGGAGCATATTTTCTAAAAGGTTTTCTCTGCAATAACTTAAGTCCATCAAAATTAGGAAAGATCGCACCGATTTAATTCAGATTTAAGGAAATCTTTTAAGGATAACTTTGAAAGATCAGAAATATCGGATTAACTGAAAGGATAAAGGAGAATTTCCTTATTCTTTGGAGAATAAAAGATATTTTTATATCTATGATATGAAATATACATAAAGACAAAAATAAAAAAAAGTTCGGAGCAACCGACCTCCCATACTTATAAATAAAGAGGACTTCGAAGCCAAAAAGATCATCCAATACATTCTAGAGAGCAACAGAGCTAAAACCAGAGAATCTAACACTTTCTAGTTTACTTCGCAAACACCTTTTTCACTTCGACATAACCTCACGGTTATCCCTTTATCTGTAATTGCTTCGCTTATTACTATTAATAAAAAGACCTTATTCTCCAAAACCCACAACTGTTAATTAAACCATAGTGGTGATTTTCTGGTTCAACAGTTGGCGCCGTTTGTGGGGACTAAGAGAATAAATTTTTAAAAAAAAACCAAGTAAGAAAGCGAAGCGATGAGCCTCCCCGTCGACAACAGCGATCTCATCCACAACAACGATGACACCACTCACACCGAGACACCCACTCTCGGTGAATGTACAAACGTCACTACCGCGAATCCACCCGTGGGAGCACCCCCAGCTCCCCTCCAGGCCGCTGACCTCGCAGCAGCCATCCAGGCCGCCATGCAGCCACTCACGCAGGATTTGGTGTCCACACTAGACACTCTCTAGGCCCAGCAAGCCAAATACGACGAGCAACTCAGCGTCTTCGCAGCCGCGACCACCGCGAGATCAGAGCTGATCGGGCGACGTTTAATCTTCGAAACACCAGAGCAAAACAACATCAGGAGTACAGCAGCTGAAGATGAGGAGCCGTCTGGTGAACTAAATTCCGAGATCGCAAGGCTTCACCAGCGAATCAACGCGATCGGATCCCAAGTCCATCGAGCCACCAGCTCGGCACCTGAGATCTCAACCATTCTCTCGGATGCCAAACACAATCCATTCGCCCCGCAGATCACCGACGTATGACTCGGCAAGGCAATAAAACTGAAGCTCCCATACTACAACGGGATGGAGGATCCTAACCTATGACTGACCGGATTCAATGTCGCTATGAAGAGGCAACGATTCGAGACCGACCTCGAACGAGAAGCCAACCACTGCCAAACCTTTGTAGAACACCTCAACAAGGATGCTTTGAAATGGTTCTCTAACTTACCCCCGACCTCGATCAAATCCTTCAAGGATCTGACTCACGCCTTCATCAAACATTATTCCATGTTCATCATAAAGATGACGGTCAACCTATTCATTCTAGTGCAAGAGCGCGACCAACCACTCCGCGACTTCATCAAAAAATTTAAGAACGCTGCCACGACATACAGGCAAATCCCTCAAGCCTTAGCCATCGAGGCACTCATGAACGGTCTGTGGTACGAATCAAGATCTACAGAAACACCCGAAGGAAACCATAGAAGACGCACTCCATCGAGCCCAGACCTTCATACGGATGGAGGAGGAGAAAAAATTCTACGCCAAGAAACACGACATAGACACGACAAGCACTTCAAAAGACAAGGGGCCATTGAGTAAAAGCAAGCCCTCCTCTCACGCTGTCGTAGCAACCACAGAGAAGCTCTGGAATCAGTGGACCCTAGGAGACCCCCCAAGGAGCACAAGCAATAGGGACGATAATCACGACCTCTACTGCTCCTTTCACGGACGAACAGGACACGCTACTTCGGCCTGTCGACACCTCCAAAATACACTGTATGAACAATACAAAGAAGGCAAAATCAACATCGAAGGCGATCGATTCCGGAGTAAAAGCTCCTATTCACGCAGTTCAAACCCCAGGGACTCGCGTCCGATCACTTCCATTCGGGATCGCAGGTATCCAGGACAAAGCAGCAGTCGAGGCAGTTCTGGAGGAAGGCGCCGAAGTCGCACGCCTGAAAGAAGGCACGAAGAAAAGGAGAAGGAGAAAGGAGCAGAGCGTCAGAACGACGAAGGAGAACACGAAAATCTGCCTCCTCCACCGAAGCGACGGGTCAACATGATCATGGGAGGACTCCCTGACTGCGATGACTCGGTCCATGGCATCAAAGAGTATGGACGAATAGCAGTCGCATCGCGAAAATTTCCTCACCCCGTGGCCTATCACCCCACGATCACCTTCACATCGAAGGATATGCATGGGTTACACACCCCGTATAACGACCCGCTGGTGGTCGAACTACATATACACGACAGCGAAATGGCCAAAATCTTGGTGGATACCGGCAACACGGTCAACATCATCTTTAAAGATACGTTGACTAAGATGGGATTCCAAGACAAAGACATCAAGGCGGTACCAAAGCCTTTAACTGGCTTTGCCAGTGAATCTTTCTTCAGCCTCAGCACCATACGACTCACGGTCTATGTCGGCAGCGTGACAAAAATCGTTAAATTTACGGTAATGGACAAGCCAGCAATCTACAATGCCATACTTGGCACACCTTGGATTCACGAGATGAAAGCAATGGTGTCGACTTATCATCAATGCATGAAATTCACCACTTCGGCCGGAGTTTTTACTCTTCGCAGGGATCAGCAGATGGCAAGATCTTGCTTCATCAGCGAACGCAAAATGCGACTTTCCATGACAAAAGCACTCGAAGATGCTAAATGAGCGAAAAAGACTCGACAATGAGTCTTAACTGTTTTCTTTTTATTTTACTTTCAATAAAACCTGGCTCAGCCCTGAGTGATACCACTCATTCAATACTTGTAATGAACTACGAACTGCTTGATCCCGATTCGGATACGTAGGCAACCTCTGGGTGCAGCCGTAAATCTAATAAATTTATTTTTCAGAAAATTAGATCGGCATATAGAGTCACGTTTCCTTATGCGAATGCATCTTGCTGAATCAGTGTTCTGGCCAAACATTCGATTCAAAGAAAAAGCAAGCACAATAAATAAAATAAGTGGCTGATCACTACTCCTTTGATACTTCGGTTTGATTTAATTACTTCCAGAGTGGATAAGAAGAAAGCCGAGGACAATACTCGCATGACCCTCGATCATACCTTTCAGGCCAAAGTGAATCATGAAAAATTGGTATTCGATCTTGATCGTCGTTTGGTGTAAAACGGGCAAAGAAAACCCGCTTTCAGTTTCAAACTAAAAAGTTCTATCACACTTTGAAAAAAATAAAGAACGATAAAGAGCAATTAAAGGACCTATAAAATGAGATAACAAGCCATCTTAGGCAACAATTCTTACAAAAAAGAATAATAACAAAAATAATAAAAAGCCGCCGGGCTTATTTTCGCAGCCCGTCAATCTTTAACCTACTTGGAAGATTAAGGTAGTCGCTCATAACGACTATCTCATCAATGGCATCGCTGACCGCCTTCCACTTGGCAAACTCCTTTTCGAAGGACGGAAGGGTCCCGACAGGAAGCTCCCACCCTTTCTCTTGCATCTTCTTCAAGAAAGCCACCATATGGCTAGTTTTCTCCACATCGACAAGGGCTGCTTCCACCTCTTCGCGTTGAACTAGCGAAGCTTGAATCCGATCTAAACGCAGTTTAAACCAAGCAGTCATGTCATTAAAAACTCTATCGGCAGCATCGCGAGCGGCTTCCTCGCAAGCCTTCTGAAGCTTCTCCTTCTCGGTAAGAAATCCATGCAAGTTCTCTTTATTCTGCTTTTCGAGAAGCTTGTTTTGAGCTTGGAGAGCGGCGACCTGCTTGTGAAGTCGATTAGCTTCAGACACCTCGCCCTTAAAAGCGTCAACGGCGCCCTCCAACTGAACGC